TTTTTTTTTTTATACAACTGCCCTCCTCTTTTTCTATGCAGCTTGCCAGGAGGCATACATCAAGCTGCTGGAGCAGGAGGCCTGCAGCACCGGCTGTGCCAGCCAACCCTCTGAACCTGAGATCTTGAGGAGGAAGGTGAGGGAAGGCAGCTCCGTACACAATAAATTCACACTCCCCAATACCTACGTGCTGCTTTTCTAAACGAGCATGACTCACCAGTCGCCGCTGAAAATTACCATAGCAGACACGTTTGCATGCACACCGAGGTCAGCCAGGCTTTTCTGGGTCTAACTGTTTGACCTGTTCTCGTCCCTCTGGCAGCTGAGGGCCATGACCTTGCGCCCGAAGCCCCCCTCTGTGATGGAGGCCGTGTCCAGCTGGTGCAACGACATCGTCAGCTCGGCCCAGAGCTTCATCTCCTCCACCTGGACCTTCTACTTGCAGGCCGACGACGGCAAGGTTGTGGTTTTCCAAGTAAGAGGCCCCCCGACGAGATCTTAAAAAAATTCTTTTTAATTTTAAAGACAACTTTAATGCAAAGTAATTATTTACGAGGCAGCTTGCACTTAGGTAGAATATCACTGATTCCAAAATGTTTGGTTTTATATTTTTTTAAAATAAAATCTCATTTTCTTATACTTTTTCGAAACCCAACAGAGGCTTGTTCATTTAACTTCAGTTCGGTAAACCTGAGCCACTTCGCAAGGCAGAAACATCAAATTCTTATTTGATTTCTTAACAGGATGGTTTGGTTTAAGTTCAGCTCACACCAATCAAATTAATTCAAAAATACTCCAGTGAAATACACAAGTGGTACTGTCACTGCACTGTGAAATGATTTCACCCTCTCACAAAAGTCTTCTGTACTTTTTCCTCATACTTTAATATTTCAAATGATCAAACACATTTTAATATTAGATCACAAAATTAATATTAAATTCCCTTCATTTTTAAGGGAAAAGATTTCAAACCAAAATGACCGCATGAGAAAATATAATTTCCCTTCCCTTATTAAATCATAAAGTAACAGTTATTATCTGAAATATTGGCTTTGTTTTTTTAGTCACTTTTAAATTTCTTACTGCCAGGCCAGCATAACCAAGAAATTCAAAAGAACTCGTCTGACAACATGAAGTAGGCTAAAAGATGCCAAAAGGCAACAGATTTACACAGATCTAAAGAAATTCAAGAGCAGATGAGAATCCAAGGCTTACCAAACCATTTCTAAGGTTTGGGCACTCCAGTGAACCACAATGAGAGCCTCATCTACAAATGGAGAAAACATGGAACTGCAATGAATCTTCCCAGGAGTTGCCGGTTTGCCAAAATTACTTTGAGAGCATGTGGACGAGTCCGTCAGGAGGTCTCAGTAAAACCCAGAACCACATCTGAAACTCTGCAGGCTTCACTTGCCTCATTTAATGTCAGCGTTCAGGATTCAACAATGAGAAAGACGGCGCATAAATCTAAATTACATCCATCATGTTCAAAGGGGAAAATCACCGCTAACCAATGCAAACACAAAGGATGCTTCTCAAATTTACCAAAGAAAATCTCGATTCTCCAGAAATGACTAAAATGTTTGTGGAGCTATTCTGCGGAGAGACGAGACAAAGGGGAACCTTTTGGAAAGTGTGTGTCGTGTCACATCTGGCATAATAGTGCTACATTTTTCACACACACACACACACACACACACACGCACGCACGCACGCACGCACGCACGCACGCACGCACGCACACAAAAGATCAAATTGATTGTTAAATATGGTGGAGGGAGTGTGACAGTCTCTTAATGCTTCCTCAGTTTAGCACCTGGTTTGTAGGTGATTCTATTAGAATTAGAATTGGCCTAGTCAAAGTTCAAACCTAAATCTGTAAGATTTGAAACGTAAAATGTACAGGAACTCTCCTTCTAATCTGACTCAACTGGCACTATGTTACAGAGGGGGAAATTTTTTTTCAAGATTTCTGTCTCTTAGTGTGACTAGTTGGAAGAAAAGATCCCAAACATTTCCAGCTTTACCTGCAGTGGAAGGTGGTTCTATAAAGTAGAAGTGATCTGAATATATATGAACTCCACTCTTTTTGGGTTCTTCTCTCTTCCTTTCTCCGTAACTCTTTTCTTCCACTTCATGATTATGTTCTACGTTGGGTTGGTCTATTTGTAGAAAATACGCTGAAGTTTGTGGTCGTATTTTGCATAAAAAATGTATCAGTCCCTTTTTATTCTCTAGTTATTCTATGGCTCAAAATGAGATGTAGCCATTTTTTTTTGTTTGTTTCATATGGTTGTAATTTGGGGTTTAAAGGAACCCAGCAGACCCCTGCAGATTATTTGATGCTGCACTCTGTTTCCTGTTAAGATTGGGAATTATACCCTCGACTCTACGCCTCTCTTAAGGTTGGGTAGAGTGCCAGCAGCTGTCGCACCCCATTTGGCGGCCGTCGTGTACCGAATGTGCAGCATGAGTGAGCATGCAGCTGGGCAGGGAAAGGCGGCCGAATTGTGACAGTGACAAAATCTTTTTATTTATTCTCACACAACTTTAAAGGTTTAAAAACATCCTCTTACATGATGCCATGACGCTCAGTTTTATACTCCGAGAGCCTCGTTGGTGAAGTCACAATAAAATGGGACACAATGCAGAATTTAACAAGCGGAGGACTGCTGAAAATAAAATGTGAATGCGGCAATTACATTATTAGGAGTAAATTCTCACACTTTCGAGAAACTTTTACCGAAAATCTTAAAGAGACAGCATATACATTTGGTATAATTGCACTTCCCTGAAACATTGACCAGTTTTTCTTAAGCGACTGGGGTAGGTGTGTTTCATTTGAGATTGCATCCAGATAAAACATTCTTTGCCTTGTTTAACTTTGAAAAGTAACGTTCATGCAACTTTTTTTTTTTTTTTTTTTTTTTTTACAAACATGCAACGATGCATTGCTTTCTAGAGGAGTTTTAAGAATCTTAAACTAGAGTTAACACAATAAGACACCTACCTATTGAAGCTGTAAAAAAGATTTGCTTTGCTAAACCACCAGGCTGCACAATCAAACCCTGCAGTTTAAAAAAGCTGACCAGAAACCTGCATCTCTGTCAAGTGTTTTTTTTTTTTTTACTGTTTGGACACATGGATGACAGTTTTAGCTGCATAATTGACCGTTTTACAGGGAAATGATAGTGTTTATGCACTCTAACCCTCACAGAAGTGCTTCTGTATGAAAAGAGCCCTCTTCATGTGGGAATTCAGGATTGCATGTGAGGATTTGTGCGCCGACTTGGCTGTCGGGCAATGCATCCATCTCAGAGTTGCTTTTGGACTGGGTGACGGATGTATGCATGCAGAACAACACTGTGAAGGGAAGCCTGCCTCAGCAGGGCTGTAGGGAGCTTGTCAGGCCTATGTTTAGCTTGCAGTTGATACACTGCCAGAAATGTGACAGGTTCAAACTTAAAAAAAAAAAAAAAAAAATCCAACACACTGAGGGATGGCAAAGGTGGGAAATGCTCTCTGAAATACAAATTACAGTATGATAATGTCCACAAAGGTCTGACAATCTACAAGCAGCCATTGCTCTGGTTGTGTCTAACTTTGTTTTCAGAAATACACACTTGAAATGAGATACCAGATGTACGAAAAAAAGAAAAAAAAAGAAAAAAGCTTGTCCCTCCTGCAGCAAACAGGCATGTCTGGGGATGTGCTTAGCAAATTAGCCGAGGCTGTAAATGTTGCAATGTTTTGTTTTTAGTACTTATCCCCATGCAAGTAAACAATAAAGAAAGATAGAAGGAACGCTCAAAAGCAAGATGCTGCTGCAATTGTAGTTTCTTCAGAGCACAGGGCACGTCTCCCAGAGCGAAAGGGTTGGTTTTAAGTTTTTTGAAACTATGTTCTGTCAGGTTAACATCAGTAATAATTCTAGAGAAAGAGACAGAGAGAGAGAGAGAGAGAGAGAGAGAGAGAGAGAGAGAGACTTGGGGGTTTGGTGGGAAGGTGGAGATGCTGGTGAGCGGACAGGTTGCACAGAGGAGTTGAACAATTAGGAGCTTTGAGGTTGTCAGTCGTTGGGTTTGGGATGACAAGCAAGTGTGCAAAAGTTGAGCTCTCCATGGCGTCCTCCAGTGGAGATATGAAGAACTACACAGAAAACCCAACCACAGATACAGAAATGAGGAGTGATGGAAGCTAAGAGAGACAAAATGTGTCTGCAGTCTAAAATAACTAAAACAACAACAACAAAAAATTCATAGCAATAGGATAGATCGCCATGTTGGCCGATTTAAAGAGTCTGCAGGTTTAGCTGAATGATACAGGGTGACTCAGTGTGGATTTGTCTTTGTTGATAATGCATCTAGCACAGGGGTCTCAAACCCCGATCTAAAAATTGGTGTCGCGTAGCTTTTATATGTGTTTGTTTCACTACACCTGGATTAAATGACGAGGCCATTATCATCACTCCGTAGTACTGGATGGTTCCTGAGGAGGCAATTCAGCCACTTGACGCTGAATTGTGTTTATGATGGGGTGGGCTGACACAACTAACAGGCTCAACTAATGTAATAACAAAATATCAGACAGTTAGGGGAAAAAAAATATGTACGCAGCACACATATATATATATATATATACACACACACACACACTGCTCAAAAAAATAAAAGGAACACTCAAATAACACATCCTAGATCTGAATGAATGAAATATTCTCCTTTAATAATTTAATACTTTGTTCTGTACAAAGTTGAATGTGCTGACAACAAAATCACACAAAAATCATCAATGGAAATCAAATTTATTAACCAATGGAGGCCTGGATTTGGAGCCACACACAAAATTAAAGTGAAATGTTCCCTTTATTTTTTTGAGCAGCATATATATATATATATATATATATATATATATATATATATATATATATATATATATATATATATATATATATATATATATATGCACTGGGCACTCCAGTGAACCCATTGTGGTTCACTGGAGTGCCCAGTATTTCAGATATTTAAAACAAACAAAAAAAAAACTAAACAATAATTATCAATATCAACTGATATGAAACACTTACATTATGATACATTTCTCAGTCATACTGTTCAGACCTAGTGTGTGTATATATGTAAATTATCTGATTTCAACTATATGAGTGGAAGAAACTCAGAAATGTCTAAAGTAGAAATATTCATTTAAAAGCCACGAAGATAAGGTCTCCTATTCCAACTCTTTTTTTAATACAGAGTACATTTATCTCTTCCTCTGATCATTTCGGTCTGCAGCTCACTAAAATCACCCATATACGTTTTTCCTGTCACAGCGTTTTACACTGGCGCTACATCTGGTTTCAATGCGCTCGGTCAGAAAAAACATGACTCACGAGAGCTTTCCTAAATTCAGCTGTAAAACTGCCTTTTCATTTTGGCATTTTTGGGAGGTGAACTAACCTTTCATTTCTCCACTGTGACTCCGGGACGCTGCCGCACTTTGTTGTCTCAGACTAGTGACTGGTTTTGGTTGGCGCAGACCAACATTCTGGTGCTACTATAGGAGGTTCAGATCTGGATGAAAACACATGAATTATTACATGAACAGGGGAAAAAAAAAAACAGTTGGGAGGATTCAAGCTGCAGCGGGAGATGATTTACCGTTAGGTGCACATGCATGTGTGTGTTGTTGCTGAGGCCAGCAATGCTATTATTAAAAGTGACTGCAGCTGCTGCTGTAGGGAAAAGAGGGTCAGCAGTGGGAAAGCAAAATCCTCTTTTAATGAGTCCTCTTGGTGAACAAAACACAAAACACAAAACAGTGACGACAGGCAATCTGTGTGTTTTAGATGTTTTTTTTTTTTTAGAAACTACCTCAGTACTAAGTTAAAACCCATTTAAGTGAGTGAAATAAAATGAAGGAACACAGAAAATCTTTAATAAAAACTCTGTCCTTAATGAGCTTCAGGGAAAGTTATTAATGCTCACGAAATCCTGATGTCAAGATGGAAACTTTTAGTTTACCAGCAAATTATTGTATTCACAAAGTATGAATGTGTCCCTTGCTTCTTCTGCGTACTTTCTAGTCACATTTAAACATTTCAGATCATCAAACAATTTTTGTGGGATAAAAAGGTGATCCGAGTTAATACAAAAAGCAGTTTTCCACCTAGGATTTTATTCAAACCCTTTGCGAAAAAGTAACTGTGATAAGTAATGTGCTATTGTTTCCTCGTGTTAATTTTAATTATTTTAGTTCAGACACATTAACTTTCAAGCATAACCAGGCTGTTTAAAGTTATGCTAGAACAGTGAAAGTTCAGGGTTTTTTTTCTTCCCATTTGTAGACATCTCACTTTGTTTTACTGAAGTCGAAAGGCTTAGAAAGTAAAAACACTGCTTTGGTTTCAAAACAATGCTTAGCTGTAAATGTGGAAGAATCATGTTAATAAGCAAAACACACAAGAATTTGTATGGAAAAGATATATTTTTGCACCAGAAGCTAAAGCTGTCAACCCATTCTTGAGGGATGCCATAAAGGTTACAGATTATTATTTGTATAATTCTTGTAGAACAAGGGGCTTAACATGCTTTGGTATGATCTTTGAACTATTGTCTTAAAGTGGTTTACCAATCATGTTCTGTCTAGAATAACGCCACAGATCCGAAATCTACATATCAATGAAGAAGTTTGGAAAGTTGTGCATGAAATCGGTGAAAGTTTCCTGTCTATATTTCCACTCATGGCTAAATATCTTTCTGCTCTTGTTTGTTGCGACGTCAGAGCCAGCCAGAGATGGAGTACTCCATGCCGGAGCTGCAGGCTCCTCGATCCAGCGTGGCTGACAAACCCTGGCCTCAGGTCCACTCCCACACCCAGAGACCCCACGGTAGGAACATTTCCACAACACTTACAAACAATACACGGGACTCGGATCAACAGTTTGGCCGTAACAATCTGTCCGTCGAGCCGTCCTGGCCTCCTGCATGAAATCCCAACATGTTGCGTTGACCGTCGTCGGTGTAATGTGGCAAAACGTGAAAGAGTTGAGTGAATATTGAGCGTGTCAGCAAAGCGGAGAACTTTTTTCTAATTGCCTGGCAGGCGTTAAAGGGCGAGGAGACAGAGGAGCAGGCAAGTCGGCGATCAAAGGGAAGCGCCCCGTCCAGCACGCAGAGGACGCTGCAGCTGACCACGACTTCCTGGGCTGCATGTCAAGGTCAGAAACCTTTGAGAGAGAGAGAGAGAGAGAGAGAGAAAATATATATTTTTGGTGAGCTGATTCACGTGATTAAATGATTCAGAACTTGCTTGTATTGAATCTTATTCAGATGCACCACAGCTTTCCACTTGTTCCTTGTTCTGTTTCCTCCTGTTCGGTTGTAGCTTTTGATAATCTTTGTGGCAAAAGTCCACAGTTTGAAATGCCTCCCGTTGGTAATATTTGATTGAAAAAATAAAAAAATAAATAAAATAAAACTTACGATCATAACTGGGATTATCTCCGCCTCTGGACACCGAGCCGTGTACCATTAGACCGCACTTGTTGGATTGCAGTAAACGAGTGACGACATTTAACAGAGAATGGTAGATGTATTTTTATTTTCGACTGGTCTGGTTATGAATCCTTTTAGTGTTTCAGGGTCAGTCTCCCTCTTCCTTGTTCCAGACGCTCAGGTCTTCCTCGGTGGATTTTAGCTGCTTGTCTCTTCCTGTCCATCATGGTCATGCTGTGGCTGAGCTGCGCCAGCCTCGTCACCGCGCCGGAGCAGCACATCAAGACGCAGGTACGTATTCAGAAGAGCATCTCCGTGTTCTGTCCCCTGCTGTGTTCTCCTCCTCTGCCTGCAGCTTTAGATCACTGCTATGATATTAGTGGAAATCCAGCAAGATGAGTTACAGTGTTTTCTGTTCAGTTTATTAAATGCCTCTTCATCACCAAATCCTTGTTATGCAACACATATTTTAGTGATTAAATAGTTTTAAGCCTTGCCCGATGTCGACCCTCTTATGCTGTTTGTGATTCTGAATTATTAGTTGTTTATTAAAATGTCAAAGTATTAGCAGTGCTTCACTGCTAAAAATGTTCAGCAGCCATAGATAAACCTTCTTATTTATTATCTCTCTAAATGTGTCATACTTTCTCTTTTGTGCATATCAAATCGGTCGATAGACGTTTAGCTTAAGTTGTTTTCACAAGTTGTTTAATAAGGCTGCACATTTTTTGGAAAACAATGATTATTCTCCATATTCTCCATTAAAGAGAAAGTACACCCTCCAGTTTGTAGTTTTAACATCTAAATGATTCTGTCTTATCTGTCCTTTCTGACCATTTTGTAACACTAATAGTGAATTGAAATGTAATTCCCAGAAGGTCGGTTTATGCATAAGCATAAAAATAAATATCCCTCTGACAGCGATTTTGATTGCTACACTACTGGATAGAGCAATAAATAAATAAATAAATAAATAAATAAATAAATAAATAAATAAATGCCTTCATTTTCATGTGTTTTTAAACACATCAAAAATAAATGGCAAGATAGGGAACAGATTTGCTTAAATATGACTGGGTTACAAAAACTATTTTTTGAAAGCTGTCTATGTTTTTTCATCTGAACTAGGACTGTTTTGCACCGTTGAATCCAAAAAATGATCCATTTTTCTCAATCGGGTTAAATTTTTATTCTATTTCGATTTAGAGACCGACTAAATTGATTACATTTTTGTGACGTTATCCGTTCATTTCCGTTAATACTTCTCATCCAAAAAAGGATATAGGAGAAAACAAAAAGTTTTCTAACAGAGTGTATTAATTAAATGTTAGGAACATGGATTTCCGTAAATTGTTGCATGTTGAATGTTGACCTGATTGAGCAAAAACCAATGTGATTTTTGGATTCAGCCCATCAAAATGACCCTAAAACAGTTTGAAAAAAAAAAAAAAAACAGACAATTTTTTTTGGCCAGTGCAGTCATGTTTTCGTTGGCTATTTGCTATATTGTCTTTGCTTTTCTTTGCTTTTCTCAGCTGAGCATCAATGGAGATAAGGAGTTCATGGAACATGTACACAAGGTCAACCCTTTCCATCTGAGCTCCATGATCGCCGTCAGCGTGAAGCAGTCGGAGGAAGCCCAGGAGGCAGGACCGCTTCCGGTCAAGGTTGATCTCAACAAAACCTGCGTTTAGAGAGAAAGCGGCCGTGTCTCGTTACTTTTGGTGACCGCGTGTAAAACACGTGGCCTGTCATCAACGCGCCACTCAGCAGAGTTTTTAAAATATGTTTAATTTAAAAAAAAAAAAAGAAAAAAAAAAGAAAAGCACGGCTCCATGTTCTGTTTACTCAGATTAATCAATAACATCTCGTGTCAGCAGGATGTTTCTTTTTTCTTTTTCATTTTTTTTTTTATTGTACAGTCCACTTTTCTGCAAGTTCATCCTCAGATTACCATTAACAACCCGCTTCGCTTACCGGCGGAGAGACGCAGCCCTCTGTTCAGTTTAGTCTCACGTCCGCACACGAGACGAGCAGAGAGAGGATGGATGACAGCCGAGAGCTCCGAAATGTTGAGCTTGGACAAACGCACAGATTCGTGTTAGATTTAATTTATCTCATTTGCGCAGAGTTGGGATTAATTAAAACGGCTCGCTCAGACTCGAGAGATGGAAGGCGGCGGGAGGGAGGAAGATGAATGAAAGGTGAGCAAAGCACTTGACAGCGCCGCGGGAAACAAATGCAGTAACAAATACGCAGTTTATGATCTGTTTACATAATCAGCTTTATGAGCTCTTCAGAAATATCGCCTTTGCAAACGGCTCTGAAATTGAAAATCCTCTTCTTGACATCGTTCTCAGGTGAGTAATCCTCACCAGGGAGACAAAAACTAAATTAGCGTCTTTCTGTAATCTAATGCCTGTGTGTGTGTGTGTGTGTGTGTGTGTGTGTGTGTGTGTGTGTGTGTGTGTGTGTGTGTGTGTGTGTGTGTGTGTGTTTGGATAAATCTGCAACAGCGCTCATTCATCTGCGGAGAACAAATTCAAACGACAGCATCTGGGCGTGCTGACTGGAAACGAGAAAAGCTGAAGCCGTTATTTATTTTCTTCTTCCCTATTTATTCTGAGTCATCGACATAAGTAATCTGCTGAAGTGTTTTGCTGAAGTGCCATGGACATTTAACGCATCACACAAGTGTAAACGCTCTTTTGTGTACGACCATTGCAGCACAGAGAAACACACAACAGTACAAGATGGCACCAGATGCTGTATTAATATAGCTATGATTATTATGATTACTATGGCTCTTATATCACTTCGAGACTTTGTAGCTGTTACCTGTGCCATGTGCTTTCCAATAGCTGACTATTTTGTATGTCCTAGGAGCACATATTGAAGGATAACCCCTGTAATAATGTGTAATGCAAAGCTTTGAACATAGACCTTTGTTATTGAACAGAATTGCACAGTCTTAGAGAAGATATTTTGTTTTTATCTCCGTGCTTTTGGTGTCCTGTAATGCTCTCTTTTAACCCCCCCCCCCTTATGTAGACAATTAACCGTGCATGCAAGTGATAAATCCTTTTGTTTGTTTGTTTGTTTGTTTGTTTGTTTTTTAGATGATAGTTTGTTCTAAGCACTCGCCATGCCAGTAACAACACTTCTTTATTGTGGACTTGTGATTTTTTATTTTTTTTATGTTTTATGTGTTCATATTTACAGTTAACCTAAAACGTATAATAATGATTTATAGCTAGGACTCTTGATTAAAAAAAAAAAAAAAAAAAAAAAGCCATCTGATCAGTATATGTGCAGCTTCAAGCTCAAAGTTACAGGATATGAGTTGATTAAATCAAACTGTATTTGTTTCTTTTTACTGTTTATTTCCAGTGAAATGATACAACATGATGAAATAAAGTGTTTTCACTGTAAATCAATAAAATATGCAAGCGGAGGTTTTTTGTTTTCGTTAGTAAGAAGAATATTTAATAAATGGACGATTGACATTATAGATTCAGTGTATGTGTTTTTCCTTTTTCGAAGTTCAAACTACTTCTTATGAGAAATAAGTGGTTCTGTGCAAAAGTTTTAACTCGGTCCTAATTTGGTGATACTTCCAGGAAGACAGACTTCCCTGTATTGTTATTTAAAAGTCATTGGAGGTTTCCCAAAAAGGTTCTGGGTTCGATTCCCAGCCCCGGTCTTTCTGCATGGAGTTTGCATGTTCTCCCTGTGCATGCGTGGGTTTTCTCCGGGTACTCCAGTTTCCTCCCACAGTCCAAAAACTTGACTGTCAGGTTAATTGGCCTCTCCAAATTGCCCTTAGGTGAGAGTGTGTGTGCATGGTTGTTTGTCCTATTTGTCTCTGTGTTGCCCTGCGACAGACTGGCGACCTGTCCAGGGTGAACCCCGCCTCTCACCTGGAACGTTAGCTGGAGATAGGAGGCACTAGCACCCCTCCTGACCCCACTAAGGGACAAGGGTGTAAAGAAAATGGATGGATGGATGGATGGATGGATGTTTCCCCCCGTTTAAGCTCAGATAATTGAAGGAACCAAGAAGAAGTTCTGAGTTTTAAAAACACAGCTAGAGCAGATGGACAGTGAATAAATGTAATGTCATGAAACAAATAAATAAACAAAAAAGGCCTCTGCAAAAATCTAACTTACTGCTTGGGATATGTCTGGAGTTGCTTTAAAATAGAGTAATTCATCACTTCTTAACCCATTCAAAGACCATTTAGAGCCACCCTTTCCTGCATATTGGTGGGAACGTGGTATTAACTATCTTGTTTAAGAGCGTTTTGACGTGTAGCACGGAAAGAATCTGGAATCGAACTTGCAACTTTCAGATTTCCTCTCTTGCAGTTGAGTCAGAGTCTCCTGTAGATTGTTGTGGTTCTCAAACTTTCTACAAGTTCAGCTTGAGTCACTCCAAGATTTTTGAGGTAATTTTTGTCATCACAGTTTAATTTGCTTTAGTCAGAGTGTTTTCATTAAAATGTAGAGTAGCATTTCACCCATTTGTAGTTATTTTACTAGCCACTGTGAATTTCCTAGGAGTTTAATCTGGAAAAAATAAATAAATCATAGAAAATGTTTTATTTATACTCAGGTCAAATGTTCATCCTACAATGTAGTGTAGTTAGCTATGTTTTGCAATACACTATGTGCAGACTTTTTTTTATTTATTTAAAATAACTTTATTTTGATTTACCTGTTCAAAAAGTCCCAAACTCCAATCTCTTAAATAAGATGTTTATTTATTTATTTTTTTAAAAAGATCATGTTCACTACGATGTGCAAACAGGACAACAGTGTAACTCTAAAACTTCAATTTAGCCTTTACCTTCACCTCAAACATTAAAATTAGCAGTTTTTCAAAATTCAATCAGAACTGCTTGACCTGAACAATACATTAATAAATGACAATATATTAATTTGGCAATGACATTCATTTAAAAATAATAAAAGCGTTGTGCAAAAAAAAGAAAAAAAAAATCAAAGAAGCAAATGTGAAAATCATTCAGCAACAAAATTATAGCATGAAAATTAAATGCTCTGATTTAAAATAAAAAAAAAAAATAAAAAAAATAACATTCAGCCAGAAATGCATTCAAAAGGCGTAGTAAATAAAAAATCCACTTGGGGGCAGCAAAGTTCATGAAGTCGGACAAGTGTTTTGCGCTTCTTGTTTTTTTTTTTTTTACCATATTTAAGAAAATCTAAAGCAAATCTCTCCTGTTAGGGTTCAAAAAAGTTCAGAGACCAGAGAAGAAGCTATGGAAAAAAATTCAAATCAAATAATCAGAAAAAGAAGATTTGGAGTGCATGAAGGGTTTGTGAACTTGTTTGACAGACAGTTATGTAGCCTTTTGATATCTTCACTAAGATGGTCGAGAGAGAAATTTTCACAGAAAACATAACAGTTGAAAGCTGCTGCTACAACCAATAAGCAAATAAATGCAATTTTATTTTTTTTACACTGCAGATAAACTGTAAATGTAGAGAATCCCAACCTGTTAAAAAGAAAAATGAGAATATGAGGAGAAATAATGGAACAAAGACAAAAAAAATAAAAAATAAATAAAAAATTGCGTAGGCCTCTTTGTCACGGCATCAAACACAGACCAGATACAATGAATTCCTAATCAAACAGCTCAAAACAAGGCCAGCACAACAGAGCTTCCAGCGCATGTGTCCAATTAGCATAACATGCTGGTTGGCTGTGTGAAAGACACAAAGACAGAAGGAAAATATCAAAACATGCCTTAGCTGTGACACATAATCAAAGGGTGGAAGCTGCACCATGAGAGGGTGTTACATTACATTACCCCTTGATGTCATGACAGACATTCAGAAGTGGGGTTGGTGCAGAGACTTCAGCTGGTCACTGTGCATGATGTGTCAATGCATCATCATCATTATGCATGCAACAAGATGTTCACGTCACAATGGACTTTTATGCAAAAATTGGGCAAATGAAAACATCCATCTATCCATCCAGCCAAGTTCAGAAATATGCAGTAGACAGGAAAATACAGAATATCTGCAAACTTAGTAAAAATGGAGGAGGACATGAAGAAACTGATTATGTGTTGTAAAATATTTACCTGCTTCTTCAGCTCCACTCCTTCAGACAGAGGAGTGGCAACAATATAAGAAAGTCTTGAGGTGTATCGGTACTTACACAGTGAGAAGTGTGGTTGCATTTTGAAGAAGGGGGTTGGGTGCAACCTCGTAATGTGCCTCAAAGCAGAGGTGGAGCCTAGTCAAAGTCCAGGACATCCCTCTGTTTTGGGTTCTACCATCATTTTCAGGAGGAACATGGACAGCAGACATGGACGATGAAATCAAATTTAATTTGATAGTAATTCAGCGTTTTCTAGACTTTCCAATTGCTAATAGCACATTAATTCTTTATTTGACTCTTTTTTTCAGGGGGCATTTTTTTTTTTTTTGTAGTTTAAGACTATAGTTGGTGATGGGGAGGCTGAGGTATTATGACCTGATAAGTTATTTCTTACCATAAATGAAAGTAACTGGTTTTGAATACCTGCTGTATCCTAAAACCTAAAATCGTACATAATCTACATTCAGCTTTGATGTTTATCCTTTTCAACTTTTCTTATTGGGCGGTTGGCTGTAGGTGAATCGCCAGGTAATGTCAAGTAAATTTTCTTGCTCTGTGGGATTTTTGCTGACTAAGTGAAGTAAGTTTTTTTTTGGATGCACTTTAAACTTTTAAGCTGAATTTTTCTTGTTGTTTGCACCAGATGGTAAATGAAACACAGAGAGATTGGGTGCACTCTTCACACGCTTATTGATCCCACAAGTTAAAACCCGTCAGATTCCAGGTGCGCCCATGAGTAGCAAACAGGTGGTGGAGCTTCGAATGGACACGTCGATGAGTTTGCGGAACGTTGAAAGAGTCAACATTTAGCCAACATGCAAATCAGTTATGTCAAAACTACAATTAGTAATAAAAAAACAAATCATTTCGCTGTTGCCTACATTTTTCTTTTGGTAGTTGACAATCAATCCTACAGCACCACTGCCTGAAACAGCCTGGTTAGTCCTTTCAATGGGTTCTGGGTCTCCTCTTAGAGGGACATGCACGGAAATGCTCCTTAGGGAGGCGCTCTCTCGACGAGGAGCAACCTCATCAACAGGTTTTGGGGGGAAAAAAAAAAAATCCTACAACAGGTTCACTTCTCAAACCCATGTGAGTAAAAAGGTCAAATCTGCGTTTTGAACTGCTCATTCCGAGGAGGACTGGAGCTCAAAATCGTCTGCTATACATTCAGACACTTTAGGTGGAGAGAAGACAAATTACCTGCTGTAGCACCACTTTAGTAACTTGACCAGACCGGCCTTCGCTCTGTGCACTCTCAAAGGGTTTTGCCTGCGATGGGATACCGTTCATAATGAACTAGGGAGAGATCCAGGACAGAGCCTGATGTGATTTGGTGAAATACATCCGTCTGAAGGGTTTATGAAAACTACAGGAACGGGTTGTACCGTCTGTGCTGGTGTGTTGACTCACTGAATGCAAATAGGCAGTGTTGTCCTACTCTTCCTCTGCCTCCTACAATCAGCCGCTCTCTGTTGACGGAGGAGAAGACAAACAGGGATTTTATGGCCGCTGCAGCCAGAAACTCGGACAACACGTGTCATGCAAGCGGACGTTTATGACCGGATGAGAGTTACAACTGTAAATTCACCCACTGAACGCGAATGGCTGATCTATACAACCGGTTCGTTTACCTTTCATTTCGATGATCTCAAAGCGGTTTTTGAAGCATTATTTTTTTAGAACTGCGATCCCTTTATGTGTTTTATTTTAACTCACATACAGCATATCAAGTTGAATTATTCTCCCTCACGGCATGCTCTCCTACATCTCAAATCCACATCTCTGGTCATCTTCACATGCTGCTCACTTAATCACCCACAGGGGGCGCTATGGAACCATGTTAGAGCGCTGGTGGCCCCATTATTACAATTTAATGGTTTATGTGAGTGAAGAGGCAATGTTCCTCTCTAGCTTTCCTCCCTCCCAGCCGCACAGAGCTGTGTGCTGCTCTTATCTGGCCAGACCTGCTGCAGGAGCCAACCTGCAGTGCATTAAACAAGTCACACACGCACACACACGCACAGGTGAACACACACACACACACACACACAAACAGCAGCAGCGTGAGTGTGTGTGCGTGTGTGTGTGTTTGGAAATGAGCAGAATAATGAAAGAGGAGTGTGAGATTGTTAAAAGAAAGGAGAGGGGGAGTTCATCAGGGGGACTGATTGGACATTGTAGTGTATATTTGTGAATAATTTATCAGAAATTTTACACTAAGAGAAAAATGATGAAACCGTAACGCAATGATGACGGGACCTGAAGACGAAGCGTACGTTGGCTGGTTTTAATTAAGACGTACACAAACTGGGTTCTGATATTCAAATCAAATTCAATTCACTTTATTTTTTTATACTTGTTAGCAGGCGGCAGAACAAGACAGAGCTCTCCTGAGATCTGCCACACGTCAATGCTAAAATCCTTGTGCGGCTAATCGGAAAAACCCCATACAGATTAAAACATAAGCAGAACAACATGTAAGACAAGAGCAACAAAGTAAAGTGCAACATCCTAACACCAATTAACACCACTTCGCCACCTGAAAGCTGCGCTGCTTGTCTGCTGGCGTCCTGTTCCTGCGGCGGTTCTGAAACCGATCCTGGACCGAGGTGCAGCGTAGCACCATATACGGAGTCACGATCATCGTCGCAATATTAAAGTGGGCAACAACCCAAAGGTTCAGCTGACATTGATTCACTCTCTGCATGCAGATGTCCAGTCTAGCAGGCTTCCACTGCCCTTGATGCTCACACTTGATATGGAGCTTACTGTAGGGAAAAGGAGGCGTCGAGACTGCAGCCACCGGTATCAAGACTGACAAAAATTACAGTTTCAAAACAGCTAGTCACACTTCCTTTACAGTTAAAAGTCATTTAATTGAGATGACTTGAGAAGGAAGTGACCAGAAGGCCTACCTGTTGCTGTGCTCTGCCAACAGCTGGCTGACCTGGGATCCATTTTTTTTTTTATCCCATTTTTACAAGAAAGATTAATTTATCTGTTTGGAGATTTTCCCAGTTGTGGAAAACACAGATAATAATGATGAAAAAAATCCTTGGAGAACCACCCAAAAGGCCGTTTTAAAGCTACGTTTGGTGAGCCAGGAGCAACGTGCCTGTAAAGCGGCATGCTGCTAGCTAGCTACACGAACAAATAGCCTGACCATGTCATGTAGATTCCATCAGCTTCTTATATTTAATAGTTTTTACATGTCATAAAGCGCTGAACAGCATAGAATAAAAACATAAAATCACAGGACACATTTTGCACAAAGCCACGGCAAGTGAAATTATAAGATCCTGCGTAATTACATAAATACTTTTACTTTAAAAGTAACAATGTACGTAAAAGGGCCCAGGCAAATCTCAAACGACGGGTCGTTTATATTTTAAAGGATCAAGTCAATCAGCCGCACACAACCTGAAAGGGTTGACCTCCTTTAGTTATCAGTCTGATGTGTGTAATAATCAACAAATGTTGATTTTGTGAACATAGATAATGACAGACTGAGTGCTCAGTGAGATCGGACAGGCAGACTGGTGCCTGACCATTTACTGTTTTACAAGCAAGGGCTAATATTTAAAAAAATAAACTCTGAACTCAAGGGAAAGCCAGGGTAATTAATACGAAAATACTTTTCTTATGTTACTTTAAGAGCACAATGTTAAGAATGTATCATATTTGAAATACAAATGACTAATTTCAGTGTGTGTTTAGTCTACGTTCTTGTCTAAGACTACACATCTAAATCAGAACAGTAACTAAATGCTATTGAAACATTATTTCAAATGTAATAATCAATAGATTGTATTATTTTAGCAGCAGTATGAGTAATTTCAGCTCTTTTGTTTTAAATGAAAGCAACTAGATCATGTTGGACGTTACATTTACATTTTTTTGGCATTTCTACTTCAGAAATACCAAGATGATTGGTATTTCTTAAGATGATTGTTTTGTTAGACTCTCATAGCATCTCGTGCTGAATTGTGATGCTAAAAAATAGTTATTCAAAAGAGAGTTACACTTAATATCATCTATATGACAATACTAAGAAATAACTGCATGTTTTCCGAACATCACACAGTCCCTCAAGTGGGGACACTCCACTGGTCTTCATATCCCCTCACTATCTTTTGCAGGGCCCTCTGCAATTAATGCCTTGTCTACCCCTTTGTCTACTTTAAATTTCAGGAAAGTACAGAACAATAACTGGGTCTACTTTTATTTGTTTGATGAGTTTGCCTGCCGTAATATTACAAATAAATACTGAACAACCTAAATCTGAAGTCAGAAAATCAGATTTAGTTCTTGCTTTTGAAAGAAAATAGAAATATCAGAGCTAGCTAGGTATGAAACAGTCAATTCTGCATTTGTTTGACTTATGGAAAGTGTGAGTGAGAAGTGCAAAAGTGAATCTGAATTAGTGTCAGATCAGTTTTTGGTATGGTGGAAAGTTTTGTATACTTGTTGTAAGAGGATAAGACACATTTAAACCCTCTCCATCAACATCCCTCTATGTCTGTGTGCGTGTGTGAAACGCTTTGTTTCCAACATGCACACCCTCACACTAAGACAACCAGCTAGACATCCATCCATCCATCCATCCATCCACCACCGCCAGCACCGGACTTTGTTGGAGCACCAACTTTATTTTCACCACGATATCTGTCATGAAACCGCACAAAACAAAGAATCAATCAATTCCGGGCACTTTTATCCCCCCATCTTTCAGCCTTTCACAGCCGCAGCAGTCATGCAAGTGCACATGCGGACACAGACGTGTACGTACAGCACGGATGCTACCTGGACTATTAAACTGCGAGCAGCCCGACACGCCGCTCTCTCCAAACTCAGCGCGCAGGCATGAAGCGTCGGTTTCAAGCTCCCCTCTCTGTGAATTGATTCTACTATGAGCCTACACGAACCTCTGCTCTCCGAGCCGGGGAGACTCGAAAAGAAAGGACAGAAACCGGTTCTGGTCAGAAGCGCCTCTTATTTTACCAGGTGTAAAAAGAAGGCTAGCAGATTTAATCAATTATGTTTAGCGCGATAAAACAAGATAATTCGTCTGTTTCAGTCGGATTTGCGCCGGTTTTTATTCAGCGCCACCCCCGCGGCGCTGAATGGAACATTCCACAATTTATTCCAGGGAAAGACTGACAGTTTTTTGGGTCATGAAGCAGCTGTTGAAGTCAGCGGCCTGTCCCCCCTCCGCTGGAATAAGAAATTAGTTCATTTTAAAGTAAATAACTAAAGCCCGTGGCCGATAAGGAGGAATTATAGAATGACTCGGCCCCCAAAACATTTAAACCTATAAATACGATCCCCCCCACTACCCCCATCTCCTCCCTATGCGGCTGCATCATATTATTAAACAGATTGGTGCCAGTGTAACAATTATTACTAACACAACAC